GCAATTCTGCTGGAAAGAACGCGCGTCTTTTTTTTACATATCCTGTATATCGAACCGTATCTTTTTTAGCAACAACGAGAACCGGCGGAGAACAACATCACGGTGAATTTGTGGCACGTATTACCGCATCCTCGCGCAACCATCGGCCGGTTCTTTTTATTCGGGACGTCGCGAGTGCAGCGGTGGAAGATCGCGAAGAATTGCGCGTGTTTGTTTTTAATCATTCTCACTGGCGTAGAGAGGAGAGCGAGCGTAAATCTCATAAATACATAAATACAAAAATGTCAGCCCGGAGCGAATCCGCAGCGACCGCCGCGGGCGGCGGCCTCCCTTTTTAGTTTGCCGTACCGTTTGCTTTTTAAACTCCTCCGCTTTTTCTCTTTCATACAAATCGTGTCGATCGACACGCGTTTTTTGGAATCGCGTGTTCCAAGAGGGGGGAAAAAAAAAACTTTGCCATGTGGATGAACGGATTTACTCGGATTCTCATGATCTCGATCGAGATAATTACAGCATTATTATGATATATTGTTAGTGATAATATCTGAAACATAGAAGATGCTAAGAAGAGCAGATAATTGTGGTCGATCGGAGAATCGTTAATCGAGAGAAAGATTGCTTTAGGAACTTAGGGAGATCACCCAAATCAAAGGGAATATTTTATTGGGCATATCCTCGCGAGAGGAAACGAACGCAATCACCCTTGGTCGACGGTAAACACTAGTTTGTGGATTTTCCACGAAGAACGCACTCGCTATTTAATGTATGATCGTTTAATGTATGCGTATTCCGGGAAGATCTTACGAATAGTCACACATGTAGTTACGTAAACTGTCCCGCAAGATCATGAAACGGAAACGAATTGTACGAATAACAATCTACATGTTACGAGACGAACACGTTCTCGACATGGCCTTTATAAAATATTCAGGCTATCCTTTTTGTCGTCAACCAGCTTAATTAGCAGGTAGATAATGTCCACTGTTCTCGCGGCCGTATCTTTTTTTCAACGGATTTACCGTTTGAATGAGGTTTAACTTCTCGGCTTTTGTTTCCCCGAACGAGGGTTGAATGAGGGTGAGAGGGAAGGACGAGAGGAGAAAACGTCAGTCATGTTTCTGCGCGCGATTCGAGAAACAGAATATTTCCGAAGACTTTCGAAACGTTTCTACTTTTATTCGGTCAATTTATTCGAGGATATGTGGTATAAGGGACAATGGAAATAATAATTTTTAATAATAATCAACCAATTCGATCAATTATCGTCATTCTATCATCAATTAAATCTGAAGTCATTTATTAAAATGTATTTAGTATGAATTGAGTTTTTTTTCAAGTATCATCATAAACGTGAAAAAAGTGGTTTTTTCCTGGAGTTTTTACATTGATTTAATCTCTTAACAAATATCAGTGTCGATAAGCGTTTCATCGGAAAATTTGATTATTTCTCTATACTTCTTTCCCTCCTCTGACTTTTTAAATTGTGAATTATAAACGCACACAAGATTCCGCATTTCGAACTTAATTTACTCGAAACCACCCGTTACCAATGGTGAGTTAACTCGTTTTAACCCATCGGCCAACTGCAATATCGCGTAACTGCGCATGGGTTCTCTATTGAATGGGCTCTTGTATAAGTTATTCATCACGCGTTTCATCCAGTTTTAACTCTCCTTTACCCGCCTCGGTCTGCTCTCACCCTCCTACCCTCCGTATAGCGTATTACTTTGAGTGTATGGGGAACGAGCTTTACGAATTATTCCACGTGACATGCGCGTTATCGCGTTATTCTGTGGATATATTGTATTCGCTTTGTACTTTGGGTCGACATCGGTGCTCTGCACGTTTTTGGCGAGACGAGTTCGAACGAATTCCAAGAGAAATCTCGTTAAAATGTCGAGGATATGATTATTAAAAAGAAAGAATACAAATGTATGAGAAAAATAAAGAGAAATCTATTTTATATTATAAAATAATATAAACTTTTGAGAATAAAATATGTAAAATAAGAATCTCTTTGTATATAAACTTTTTTTTGTCTCGAAAAAACTCTTCTTTTAAAATTCGGAAGCTCAAACATAAAAGAAAAACGTAGACTAGACATATTAGCATTATTAATATGTGTGTCAGTTTATTTTATTTTTTAATTAAATTAAACTTGTCTCGAATATATCCGCCGCCTATTAAATTGATTTGTAATTCAGAGTAATATAAAATTCCCACTACATATTGAGATTGAATATTACACGTCGAACGTACACAGTAAGAGAGATGCGAAAAAATCAAAGTACAAATTTTTTATATATTACAAGGATGCGTATTGTCGAATAATCAAGAACTGATATCCGTGATACTACTTACACAGAGAGAAAGAGAGAGAGAGAGAGACATAGTCAAAAATTTCCAATGCGGCGCAGTATTCTACTTTAGGCTACGGGATATCAGCCTGTCGATCGCGGGGAAAGGGATGCTCGCGAATTACGAGAGCGATTTTCTCTTGCTCTCGGGAATACCTGTCAATCAGTGTCGTGGATATTCTCGCACGGCATGTTACTCTCACCTCCGCTCGCCGGCGACTCTTCCAATCGGTGCGGTGGTATTCGTAGGTAGATAGATATTTGTTCTCGCTCGCTCTCCCTGCTTGGCTCTTGGCGATCGTTGCACAATGTCATTGGTAATTCCGTGTCAACAATAATCTCACGTACAATCCGAAAGATACGCGGCATGTGGCTCGTGTGACAGGTCACCGGAGAGCGGACGCGCAGCATCCGCGATTTATCGCGACATACGAGTTTTGAGAGAGAGTGTGACAGAGAGAAAGAGAGCCCAAGAGTATCGAATGCCAAATAATTGGCACAGCATCAAGCGACCATCGTTTAATTCCAAATTTTCGTTGAATTAAATTAACTGTAGAATCATCGTGACACGTACATTTCCATCTTATTAAGGACACTCGTCAAACATCAAATGTTACCTCTTTGTATCATTATTTAATCCATCGTTTGCTTTTGCATTCGAATTTTCGTAGAGCTGTATCTCGCGAAATAATTATCTCATAAATGTGACAATATTTTATACGTTTTGTGAAAGATTATTGAATTTTATAATTTATTTCGTCTGAATGTGTTGCATATTTATTTTTCCGTCCGGACAGTTGCGATTATATTAGGTACGCGATGTCACATCTCGCGATAATTGTCGACACGAGTAAATTTACGCAATTTTGCGGAAAAAAGGGAGGAGCGGGAATTATCAAAGCGATCTTACTTAGAAGCGAGCGAGCGACGTCCACGTTTGCGCGGGGCTAAGAACGAACGGCAAAACTTTTTAATTGGGCGTCCTTAATTAGCCGAGTAATTATACTGTTTCTCGCTCCGTTTCCGTTGCGCCAACTTCTCTCCCCTATCCCTCCCCCTCTTCTCCCTTTAACTCCCCTCGCTTCACCCGTGCTGCGCCACTCGCGTTTTCACTCGAGTTCTGTTCGCGGATTCGTGATTAACTATATTTACTCAATTACATAGCGGATAAATGCGAGTACCTTCTCTAAATAGCCGCCGTGCAACGCGTTGTACGTTTATTTTCGCGCAAACACATTTTATCGAATGTCGTTTATCGACGCTCGAGTTAACGTCCCCGAAAATGTTGACTCTTTATGCTAAAACATCCAAATACCACCAGGATGTCTACACCTTGGAAAAACATGGAAAAGAAATTCTCAGGGATTTTTTTTATACTTGGAAAAATTAGGAAATTCTCATGTAATTTTATTGGTACTCAAGGAATTTTTTTTTTTTTTTTTAGATTCTCTTTTCTATAATTTTGCTCTTATATTGTAAATAATCCATCGATAAGCCAAGTTGTGAATGAAATATTCAAATTATATTATAAATATATATCTCTATATATCTCTGTTTATATATTCAATGTCTTAACAAAATATGCAGTACATATCTTTATTGCAACTTTTAGTGATAAAAAATGAAACTGTTATGCAAGTGAAAAATATTTATTTTACGAAAGTTATTCAATTTAGAGATGCATATGTGTATTTCTTATTAGGATTCTTTCTATTATCGATTAAAAACATAGATATTATATTCTTTATCTTTTTAGAAGCCATTTTAACTCTAATAAGCCCGCTTAAATTGATGCTCTTTAAAGGAGCGAACATTTGAACAAGAAAATATTTATTTATTAAATTTTGTCAAAATTTTATTTTCAACTTTTGGCTCTAACTGCACAAAATGCCACATAATCGAGCATTATCAGCACGTGCTCGTGTCTCTCTCTCTCTCTCTCGTTTTATGTATATCGCGATCAGCACGCGCATTTATATTTCACGCGAGCCGCAGACATGTAGTCATTTTAATAGACAACCCCTTTGACGTTTTGGCGACGGTGTGCATCATATCGCAATTACACGCCCGATAGAATCTAAACACACGACGCGATGTGTGGCTGGCACCTGCATATCGCTCGTCGCCTTTTATATTTTATTCGATTCTTATCGCGACGTATCAGCGCGAAACACATTTCCGATTCGAAGCGTTCTGTCACGCTGGATTGAGGAATCGTTGTATTTTCATTTGGAGAACGCGTAATTGCGATTGCAATTTTATCGAAATAATGCATTTCCGAATTAATTTTTTTCTTTATTATTTAAAGTCGCCTCGTGTTTTTAGGTCATTAACAATCGAAAAATTAAAAATATAATCCTTTAATTATGAAGAAATATATAGTGATAATATAATAATTCTTTAATATAATAATGCTTTAATTAAAATTATGATATCTCGACCGAGCGCGATAATAGTTTAGCTCGAGAAGCTAATGTCAGGGTGTCTACATCATGGAAAAGGAGGACTCTTTATAAGTCTCGCTCTTTTTATCTTCTCATATTTCTTTGATCACTTTTTCAAATTTTATAAATTATATCACACACAAATTTCTTTTGTAAACATTATTACTGTTCCTATATTTGTTTATTATTGTCATTTCAGAGAGCGGCAGGCAGATAGGACCTCACGCTTGCACAGTGTGTCAAAGCGTCGTCGAGGGTAGCGCGCATAGTCGCGCATTGCCGCGCAGCCAGGCGTCACAATATGGTCTACGGGAGGACCAGGTGCCGGTTGGTGCGCGCGTCTGCAACACCTGCAGATGCAAGGCCGTCCGAGGACGTTACACCACCTGCCCGTTGCCCGGTTGTCCGAATTTAAACAGCTCCAAGTCCAGAATAAAACGGCTGAGAGCGTTGCCCTCCAAATGGCTCGATCTGCCGCTGGAGATCCGCGAGCCGATCGCTCAAGAATTCCGTGAGTGTTTTATGCAAATTATTGGAATATTTATATATAGACATATACATATAGATATGCTTATTATAATGTTTATAGTGTAAATTGATTACTCCATTGCAATACGCATGTTACGTTAATTATTACATTATTATTTAATAAGTATTTTATTATACATTTATTATATTAAATGTATCAGGGTGTCTATATTTCCTGGAAAAAATATGGAAAACCTGGAATTTTAAAGGATTTTTTTTTGTACCTGAAGAAATCACGGAATTTTTATGGAATTTCTTTTTTATGCAATTGTTTATTTCAGAGATACCGAATAATGCGACGAAATGCTGCTCGGCTTGCTTCAGCCGTATATCGCGTCGACTAGCGCCGCATCTTACCGGTGGTACCGAAGCATCCGAGGATGGCGCCGATGCGATGTTGCGTCAATGGACGGACGAGGAGTTGGAGCAGCTCCGTAAAGCGCTTCGAGAATACGGCACCAATTGGCCGAAGATCGCCGAACAAATACCCGGCAAGACGAGTCAGCAATGCAAGAACTATTATTTTGCTTACCGAAAAAAGTTGACTTTAGATCAAGTTGTTAGCGAATATTATACATTGTTGGGCGAGGAACGCAGGCCGCCGTACGTGACTGATGAGGAAGAGAGCGGAAGTAGTACGAGTAGTTGCGACGAACTAGCCGTAAGTTTGTTTTTACAAATTATGAAAAATTTTTTCAATTTATTTCCATTTGATGTCTATATATGATATGTTTTTTTCTCTTTTCCATGTTTCTTTTCTTCGCCAGGTTCACGACTCGAGTGACACCGCCAGCGCAGGAAGTCCAGCGACCACCACCATGACGGGTAGTAACGCTGCGGTGATACCGAGCAGTGGTCCTACGGCGACATCCTCATCGTTATCTTTCCAGCGACCTAGCGAGCTCGGTTCGTTGGAAAAGCTCGGCGAAAAAATCTCTGACATAACCGTCGTATCACTTGTTCCGCCTGCCGGATCGTCCCATCAGTCTTCCAGCGGTGGTGCTGCGGTTACATCCGGTGGCGCTAGGGAGGATTATGACAGCTCTGCCACGGTAAGATGAAACTCTTTAGCTTTCTTCTCTAAGTTTTAATTTGCCTTATTGTAGATCGTACAAGAACGTCTTGTAGTCATCGCAGTTTGTTTTAAGTTTCTATACCACATTTAATCATGCAATATTAAGAAATATATATATACACAATGTACATCACACATATTCTAAGATGTATTGAATTACAAATATATATCAAAATAATCCCAAATTTCCTAATGCCAATATAATTAAAACATCTTCTTTATAATATTTTTTGAACACACACGCGTTAATTTTATCGTTGACGTTTTATAATAATATATTGACGTAAAGAAACAAATTACGAAACAATATTTTTGCACGATAGGGCCGTCTGATAGAGGTGCGCTAATTGTTTCAGGAGACAGCGGACGAAGGTCAGGGAGGTGCTGATTTAGATAATGGTAGTGTTGTGGTGACTATGACCGCCAGCGGCAACGCAACATCGTTGCAACAACAGAGCCAGCATCAGCAACCACCACCAGCCACAGCTCATTCGCCTCCTTCAACAACAAGTAATTCAAATCCTCTCACTGTCAAGGATCTCATGTTGGGAGTCATCGAGATGCAATTAAAACGCACTCCCAATAGCCCGGCCGATAATGGCGGCTCATCCGCACCTAACAGTTCCGGTACGCCGACGATATCCAGTATCTTAAAAACAGATCACCGCAATGACATAACATACGTTCGCGGTTATAAACCATCCTCGAGTATGACGAACACGGCGTTGCCCAATAGAGATACAAATCTGGCAACACTCTCTGTTGTATCGGGACCTCATCATGGTCATCGATCCGCTCCTAGCCCGCAGCAAATCGGTAAGTCTATTAATATCATTATTTTTTTATTTATATTTTGAATATAAAATCAAACTTCTTATAAAAAACATGTTAAAAGTTTTACTTGCCATGCCTGTTTTTGAAAGGCATTTAAATATGTAATGTTGCACTTAAAATGAACTTCAGAAATGTAATCGATCCATTTTTTTGTTCTATGAATGCTTTACATTATTCGCGGTTTATTCCTAATTCATGCTTCATCTTCTCTCGCTTCAGGTCAGATGCAAGCTACTATTACTCCTTGCCCGCCGGCTGCGCCCAATAGTCAAGCTTCATCCTCGGATCTTCTTCCTAAGGAAGGTTTGGTTGTCATGCAAGTGCAGCAAGCGCTCCGAGAAACAGAAGGAACGCTGGATCTGAGTATTAAAAAGCCCCGGCTACAACAGGACTACAATCATTCGATTCAAATTCACAAGCCGCCGACGGTCACTCTCTATCGACCGGAACCGCCGCCGGGAGCGTACTATCATCCTCACACTACGCCTCATCCCGAACAGGGACGTAACGCAAAGAGTCCGCTAGTTTATGCTTCGACGCCACGACCACAGGCATCCATCACGCCGAAGATGAATAAGGTCACTGTGCCGCAAACACATCCCAAACTGTCGCCAAAACTTAGCAGTATGAGCACGCCGGGACACAAAGGTGGTTCCATCACGCATGGCACGCCTGTGTCTACGGCGCGTTACGAGGGTCTGCTGCGACAAATGACGCCACCCGGTAATCCGCCGGTGAGCGGCGCCTCTGCGAATGTCAGCGAACGTGGTGGTGGTGTCGTCAACGCCAGCTCCGCCGGTCCGGGAGCGCCGAAAGAGACCGGAGGAGGCTCCATTACTCAGGGTACACCGGTCCTTCCGTTTGCGGTAGACAAGCGTGGCGCGCCCATATACGACTATCATCGTACTATTCGACACTCACCCGTCACGGGTAGTGGCAATGTGCCACCACCTCCGCCGGGACAGGGCCCTGCGAGTCAATCGGCGTCGCCAGCCGTGGTAGTGAGTCACGGTGGCAGTCAATACAACTCTTATTCCGCCGCGGGACGGCCGCCGCCTAGCTATACGATGGAACAGCAATTATCCAGCCGACAGATTATCATGAATGATTATATCACCAGTCAGCAGATGCATGCGCGCGCTCGTGGCAGTGGTAGCGCTGGTGCATCCGTTACTGGCGAGATGGCGGGTAAGAGCGAACCGCCACCGCCACCGTCGTCAACTCTCTATTACGCTAGCACGCCACCTCCTCCTCCTCCGCAGACGCATACGCAGCCGCGACAGGGTGTTATCCAGAGGCATAATACACAAAAGCAAATGCATTATCCGCCACAGCCACCGATTATGGATGCATTTTCCAACTTGGTAGAAGTGGCTATTAAGCAACCTACTTTGCCGGTGCCACATCCTCACGGTCATCCGACTGCGTCTGGAAGCGGAGGTCATGAGGGTCTCGGTAAAACGATGGCGGATCGTCTATTGGCTGACCGTTATGACAACAACCGCGCGTTTCGCGAACAAGAGATACGGATGCAAGAGCATCGTATGGCCGAGCATAGGCTCGCGCAGCAGCATCAACGTGAGCGAGAGAGAGAACGCGATATCGTTCATTTGCGGGAAAAAGAGGAACATCGTTTGCATCGCGAAAAGGAATTGCAGCAGCTGGAGCATCGTCTTGCAGTACAGCAGCATCATCAGCACCGTGAGAAAGACTTCCAACAGCAGGAACACCGTCTTGCGTCGCAGCGGGAGAAGGATATGCACGTCGAGCACACCCGTCTGCAGATTCGGGAGAAGGATATTTCGCACGAGCATCGGCTTATACATCAACAGCGAGAGAAGGAGATCCATCAACAAATGGCGGCCGCCGCGCAACGTGAGAAGGAACACGAGCACCGATTAGCCGTACAGCAACGCGAAAAAGAGATACAACACCAGGAGCAAAGACTCGCTATTCAACAACAACGTGAGAATCCTCACGTTGTTGGATCTCCGATCCAACAGCACGCTGAGCATCGTCTGGCTGTGCAGCAAGCGCATCGCGAACGGGATCTGGTGCATTTGCACCAGCAACAGCAGCAGCAGCAACAAATTCAGCAGCATATTCAGCAGCAACGTATAGAAATTGAGAGAAGACACATGGCTCAGTTGTTCAGAGATCAACAACAGCAGCAGCAGCAGCTCGACCGAGATTCGTCGAGATTATTAAGCAGCGGATTCTCGCAGTCCTCTCGGCTTCAGCAATCTCAACAATCTCAACAGCAGCAGCAGCAGCAGCAATCATCATCGCGACAGAATCAATCTTCCAATCAACAACAGAACGATTCATCGTCGACTCTCACAGCTGCCAGTCTGATAGATGCTATCATAACACATCAAATTAATCAGGGCGTTGACAATGCTAGTGCAAGTGGATCCTCGACTAATCAGCCGACACGTGCTGGCGATCGCCTTTTCCAGGTATAGATGAGCATCTCTCTTGTTTTTTCAATTTATTGCACGACCTACATTTTATTTCATTGCGCTTTATTACCAATTTTAAGTGAGTTCTTACATTGCAATCTCATTTTTTCTTTATTTTGTTTTGTAGGGATTTCATCGCGAAACTCCGCAAGAACCTAATGGCATAGCCCATAGTCCTGCCGGTGAAGGAAGTGGCGGTGGCGCAAGCGGCAACGGAAGTGGCTGCAGTAAAGCGATGACTCTCGGCGAGCATGTTGAGCACATTATATCTAAGGATTATGGTCCACCTCATTCGTCGTATAGACCTTACGGGTAAGTTTAAAAAAATTCATTTTTTGATTGGAAACATTTTTTTGACTAAGAACAAATTGCTAAGTTTAATTAAGCACAATAAATGCACAGCTTTCTTCTAATGTGATTTATTTGGTCTTATGAATTTTTATTTTCTAGAATGTGAATTTACGAGAAGTCCAAATAAAATTCATAGTTTCAATTCTTGAAAGAAAAGAGAGAAAGAGAAGCTTTTGTAGATTATAACGATCTCTTTTTTTTTTTAACCGCAATACAATTATTTAATTATTTGCTAGGGAATATATTCTGCAAATAATGAGAACCTTCTCATCTTTTTTCTATTTTTTTGAAACGACAGATATCCAATCTCCGAGGATCAATGGAAGAGACGGAAACATAATGAGCCAGATTCAGTAAAGACCGGGGACGAGCGTCAGATAATACGCGTTGCGCAGCAGCAACAACAACAGCAGCAAACGCAGCAGCAGCAACAGCAGACGCAGCAGCATCAGTCATCGGGAAAGCAACAATATCATTCGGTCGAGCCACTTTCGCCGCCGGAAACAACCGCCAATCACTACGGACGTCGCTTCTACGAACCGAGCACTGCCACATCCACTTCCGGAACTCCCTCCAACAAGCCGCATCAAATATCGCCGTTCGATTACGTGAAAAACAAGATTGTTGAGGTGATGCGCACCGAGGATGACAAGGCTGGCGGCTGTGGCGGCAGTAGCGGCGGCGACAACGGCGCGGGCTCCGACCGAAATGGAGGCGGCAATACGGTTGTAACGACCGAAAAAGATGAAAAAGGAGCGGGGAGCGTAGATAGAAGCCCATCGGGTAATGGCGGCAGCGGCAGCGGTGGCGGTGAGATGGTGATCGATGACACGGGAGGGTCAACTCGTGAGCAGCCACCACCGCCACCGCCCGCGCCGGCAGCCACGACTACCTTCTATCCATTTAGCGCATTAGGAGTTCACACTGGTCCACCGCCGGCCCCGCCACCCGCCTCCGCTACGTCCGCCTCTGTGACAAAATCGGAGCAAATGCAGGCCGAGCCGGCGCCCTTGCTGTCCGCGCAATACGAGCCGCTCTCGGATGAGGATTGATAGTCTTCTGTAACCGCTCAGCGCTGTAGCTAGACTATTTTACGCTAGCGACGCAAGCTAGCACGATGACTACTGTACGGCTACTACAGATATTACGCAGAGATGCAGGTGACAGATGACGTTTTCTAGGATAATCATAGGTGATCATCGGTTGAACGATGATTCATTATATTGGACGATTTATTGACGCTCTATGGGCTTTACTCGCGAAAGTCACACTGCGTTCTTATTGATCGCCAAATCCTAATTTAATTTAAGAGACTTTTTCTTTTTATATATACGCATATATATAAAAATGTATGCATATGTGTATATATAAATATATATAAATATATATCTATATAAATATATATATAAATATATATCTATATAAATACATATATATTTATATACGTGTATATATTTATGAGAAATCACGATCTCTCCAATGAGGTAAGGGGTGCAGAAGATTACATGTATGATGTTTTAAATGAAGAAATCGCATAAATGTATATATATATGTTGTTATTTTATGAACTCTTTGTAATTTCATTGTATTTTTAGTCGGAAATCATTCCCGCGTTACGCAAAGAGAAGCGAACACATTTACGAAACAAATACTGATTTTATTTTGCCTTCTTATGGTGTTGCGCTGGCTTTCAGTTGAACATATGGCGGCGATTAGTTTTATCCACTAATTAGTTATTATCGCGATGTGTATATATATTTATATGTATATGTGTGTATATTGTATATATATTGTATATACACACACATATATATATGTATATATACATATATACACATACATACATACATACATATATATATATATACTTACACACACACACACACACACACACACACACACATACACATACATACATACAATTTATAATGCCGATATGGATACTAAATATGTATAAATAAATATATATTGTGTCACCGTAAACAGGTTACATTTTATCGTCGTGATCTTAACGGGCTCGTTTTTTTCTTTTTTTTTTTTAATTCTCGTGATTTAATTACACACGTATCGAATTTTAGTTTAGGGAGAGAGTTTTGCGGACGCGATAGTTCAAAGGAGAAACTACCGAGAAAATAAAATCGTTATACATATGTAATCGTTAAAAATAACGTGCGCCTATATATATGTATTTTCCATTTTTTATGTTTTTCGATACTTGCAGATGCATATGTGTACGTTAGCGTTTGGTGTCGCGAAAGAAAAAAAAGAGAGAAAGAGAAAGAAAACGAATCAATTGAAATTCGATACATCTATTCTTGTTTCGCGTATGTACTAATATACCGAGTGCGCGAGGCTTTAGTTGTATGATCGAGGTGAATTATTATTTTTTACGTTGACTTGGTCAGTCCGCGCAAGAAGAAATGCCGATATTCGCGTAAGCATTCGATCTGTGGAATATCTAGGGCTATATATGTATATATATGTCCCATGTTCACAATACAGACGCTTCTTTTGTATATAAATGAGAAGTAACATGTAATCGTTAAGCGGTAATGATATACAACGCTGATGAGGGCGTGCATGTTTTTATTTGGAATGAGTCTGTGATGTATCTGGGATTAATAGGTTCAACTGTGTTACGTACCAGTGCAAAGCGTAGCCTGTAGTCCGAACTAAGAATGAGAGGGAGAGAGAGAAAGAGAAAGCGTGGGAGATTATGTCAAGTTTCTCAAAGAAGATGTCGTACAATGTATTCTGGTACAATTTACCAGAGGGAATCGAGAATCGATTTAGCGACGAGAAATTTACTTTCAAGATCGTTCTCTTCTTGGTAAGGTGGTTTTAAGAAAACGGAAAAAAAATCGTAATGATAAGTGTTGTACATAGTATATAATATTAATTTCTAAGTTGAGCAAGTAATATGGCTAGATTATATCCGTACACATGCTATCGTATAAGGAGTTTAGGTTTAGCGATAAATCGACGTAGCTAGCATTTAGGGGTTTAGAACAGCCACGAACTGATTTTAAGGGAAGAACTTCCTCCCAAACTATGTTCTCTTATTAATAAATGACAGCGAAACATATATATACAGGCGAATTAAAAATTGATGGAATTATCATTCACAAAGCGAAATTCGTTGTAGATTTATTTCATCTGTGTTTTAAAAACGCATCCGAGAATATGTACGTTTAAACTATCAAAATACACATACATACAGAGATAAACACGCACATACCACACAAACACACGTACACATACATACAACACACGCACACGCGTACATGTTTACATATTTTTTATACAGCCTAATTTTATACTTGTAGCTTCAATTGTCTTGCGATCCGCGCCTTTGTTTCTTTGTCATTGCGAAACGAATTCTTCAAACATTTGCGACAATTGTTTCAGAATTTGTTTAACGTGCGCGATTGCTACTATCGTGTTATTCACCGCATCTGCCGGATTCCACCACGATTATAATATATATTCCGCATTGTTTTGCGCGCGACTGAGATATCAAGACTCTACAGAGATTCACTGTACAAAGACGACTGCCTCCATTCGTACGCCGGCGATCGGGCGATCATTCTCACTCGTACTTTTTGCTTCTCTTCGCATCCTCGACCATACAACGAGCGAATATATTCTCAGTTATATAGATTCTCTCGTCTTTTATATTCTCTCTCGTCTCTCTTTTTCTCTCTTGTCTCTCTTTTTCTTTCTCTCTTCTCTTCTTCTTTCATCTTCTTTAGCGAAGGGGAGCTCGCAGCACGCCGATTCTTTTTGTCCCTTGCATGATAGGCCAGTCGAATCGGTAGGTCTCAAAGACATCACCGTGTCATATAAAGACGCGTATTTCTACGAGGATCTTTCATTGTACAAAATAATTGCCGAGGTCTGACAAAACTGTCGAATGCTTCCAGAGTATATAGGTGGAGACGGATAGATATCATATATGTACACACACATACACACATACCACATACTGCAGAGAGGCGAATTAATCTAGTTAGCCTGAGACATAACATTCGCAACATGTAACAACGAGACAGCCGATGTGGCTCGATCTTCGTACTTCTTGCTTAGAGGAGTGTCCTCGGCGTGTTACGTTTCTTCTCCTCCTCGTATAGTACCTGAGCGACACACACATATATACTCTCACGTACACAAGATTACATACCTTCGTTTAACGATTGCACCCCGAAGAGGTGACGCGAGTCCAGTGTCCAGTCCAGTCCAGTCCAGTCCAGTCCAGTCCAGTCTAGTCTAGTCCAGTCTGGACTGGGCTCGACTGGACTGAACTCGCATCACCTTCCAATAGAAACTGCACCCGAAAGGATCCTAAGAAATGCCTCAAATATTTCAAACATCCGAGAGATGATATCGCAAGCATTTGGAATTGCATTGCGTTTTATAAAATGCCTCTTTCCTTATCATTTCTCGCGTGTATCTATGTTACATTCTTTAAGTATGCTTAGGTCTTACAGGAGTAACATTGAGCACACATTGAAGTTTGCATGTATACATAGAACGCAAAACATATACACCTACATAGATACATATAAATACACACACAGGCGCGCGTGCAGAGGGTGATAACAAGACAAGGTCCCGCTTGAAGAGAAAAAAAATGATCGGCGTGTACATATGATATACATATATGATGTAGCAAACTCCCTTTCGTTGATATATATATAAAGAGATCTTTGAAATATCGGGGCTTTCATCGGGTCGATTATTACGGGCGATTTTTCCACATTTCTCAATAAACTCTATCGTTGTCTTTCTCTTTCACTCTCTTTCGCGAACCCAAGAGATATAGCAGAGAAGGAAAAGAACTTAAAGGATTTAATGGCGATCTATAATCTGGCTTTATCGAGCATTTGAGGAAATCTTATAATCAAGAAGTAAATTGTTTTTTTTTGTCTCGGAAAAATTATTACGTATTATATGTTTGATAGCGCATCAATATATATATAAAATAAATTAAGAAATTAATGATATGATTCTCTTATGAAAAATGCAATTTAAATTCCCCGAGTCGAGTAAGAACCATCAGACAGTAAATTTCAAGGAAAATTAATTTTTCTTGAAATTAAATAGTTTTGCACAGGGCAGAAATTTTTCTTATTGCGATACCATGTGATTAAATAAATCTCACTTTAAGATTCATTTTTAATAAATTCCCTCCCCGTATCTTTTTAACGAAACATAGATTAGAAAAATATCAGGACAGAGACGCTGAACTTGGAATTTCTTTGGACTTCGCCCCGATCTTTTTCAGCATACGTTTCTTTAATAACAATTATCTGTTTTAATTACTTATGTTAGTGTGAATTTATTATGCATCAGTACACATTAATGCATTAAACCGAATTTGCTATTAGAGAGTTTTGACAAAAATTAATTTTCCATGAAACTTACATACTACCCCATATCCGCCTGACTCTTATTGGTCCAGAGTATTTGAATTTTATAATATATTTTCAAAATATATAAATATAATATAAAACTATATATGTAATTATAATCACATTTACGTTAATCAGAAATATTAGATCGATTTTCTCGAGTGTTTGAAAAAGAGATTTTTGATCGCATTTGTGATTCTTTAAAGAAAACACTTGCACGTGCAAACGATCTTTGGTACGACATAGTACTGTATAATAAGAGAAAGAAATAGGAAAGAAAAAGAGAAACATCGATGGTACTTTTCTTAAAAAGAAAAA